TACGATATAACCTATATCATTCGGTAAAATAATACCTTACTTTTTGCTTGTCGCCCTACCGCTGCAACACATTTCTCAATGATGATCTAGAAGAAGAAGTATATATGGGAATTCCTCCTGGATTTGAAAACAAATTTGGATCAAATGTGTGAAACTAAATAAGTCTTTGTATGGATTAAAGCGGACCCCTAGAGCTTGGTTTGAAAAATTCACTCAGTCCATGAAGAAACAAGGGCACATTCGAGGACAAGTTGACCACACCTTGTTCACAAAGTTTTCCCACAATGGAAAATTTGTTGCCCTGATTGTTTATGTTGATATTATCCTTACTGGAGATGATACAATTGGAATGGAAAAAGTAAAAGATGAATTACAATTAGACTTTGAAATCAAGGACTTGGAATCCATGAGATATTTTCGTGGTATGAAGGTAGCTCGATCAAAGAATAGTATTGTTGCTTTACAATAGAAATACATTCTGGACTTATTGAAAGAAACATGAATGAGTGGATATCGTCCTACAGATACCCATATGGATCATAATGCTAAACTTTGGGGAGAAGTTAATATTCTTGTTGATACTTGAAGATACCAGAGATTGGTTAGGAAACTGATTTATTTGTCACACATCTGATCTCATATTTCTTTCTCAGTTAGTGTAGTAAGTCAGTTTATGCATTCTCCGTTTGAGGAACATCTTGAGGCAATCTATAGGATACTGAGATATTTGAAGGAAAAACCCAGAAAAAACTTACTTTTTAAAAAGACTAGTGAAAGAAATGTGTTTATCTTCACTAATACTGATAGGGCAGGTTTAGTCACAAATAGAAGATCAACCTCTGGATATTATACCTATATTTGGTGTAATCTTGTGACATGGAGGAGCAAAAAACAAGGAGTAATAGCAAGAAGTAGTGCTGAAGCCGAGTTTAGAGTTGTGACTCAAGGTATTTGTGAAGAAATATGGATCCATGGAGTCCTAGAAGAACTTAAGAGGAAAATTGATCTTCCATTGAAATTATACTCTAACAGTAAAGTTGCTATTAACATAGCTCATAATTCAGTTCGACATGACAAAACCAAGCATATTGAGATTGATCAACATTTTATAAAGGAGAAGTTAAATACTAGAATTATATGTTTACCTTTTGTGACTCGAGTTAGTAAACTGCAAATATCCTGACCAAAAGCTTGACAAAATAGAGATATCAACCTTTAGCTGAGAAATGAAATAATAAAAGCATTTACCTATTATCTTTCAATAATAGAGATATCATAATTTAATCTAATCTTATTTCCTTATTAGCATAAAAAAATAACATATAATAGTTATGATGGAACTATATGTTTTGAACTAGCCTAATGACTAGAATTGGCTCAATCCATTTTTACCCTTTGAATGGTCCAACAATGTTGGTCCAATAACTCTGGACCTCTTGTCAAACATCCATGGTCGACCACACCCCTTGAGCAGTACTGCCAGTACAAAAAACACTTTTTAGAAAAACTTGTTAAGTTGATTACCTCCCACTTGATTTAAAAACATGAGGCGGTGGCAAATTTGAAATTATTTCAAACTTTTGATTTTAGCTCCCTAAAAACCAGATTCACTCTCAATTCTATTCTTAATCTTTGTTCTAAACTCTTTTAATCGTGACTGAAATAATGCATGAAATTCGTAATAAAATAGATTCATTCCTTTGTATTAGGTTTTTGTATTTTCTTCTCATCTCCTATAGCGCGCTCAAAGATGCGATTTGCGACCATTAATATTAAGGAAGTACACCTGAGAATTGCATCATGGTAGATAGAGCTTCAATTCGCATTTTGTTTCTTGCTAAAACGTCACATTTGTTAACATAGATTGTAAGTGCACTGTTTTTGTCCAGTTCGTTTTTTTAAGAAAAAAGTGCCCAACACTTTTTTGATGTAATGTGAAGAAAGGTTTTGTTCTTGAAGTTTGTTCAGTTTATTCAGATCTTTCTTCTAGAAATTGAAGAATGTTTTTTACACTGGTCAATATATTAATGAAATTTTTATTTTATTAATGCAGCAAATTTTCTTGAAACAAAGTCTGGATTTCACACATCATGGAATTAGAGAATCACTTGGTGTTGCATCATCAAACTTTTTAAGCGAAATCAGTTGGAAAGTGATGTACTGACAATATAAATTAATTTTACACTGTCAACCATTCAAAATCTTATATTAGAATAAATCACACTTTAATTTTAAAATTCTTTTAACAACAAGACACATTATTGGTTTTCTATTGAATAACCGTATAAAATAATTTTACACTGTCAGTACATATAAATTAAACTCATATTCTATACCTACTCACAAATATAAGTTAATTTCTGTAGTAACAATACCATTTAGCTAATCAATACATTTTGAAGTCATGTAAGCAGTTTATAAAGAAAAAAAGCATGCAGTGATTTAAAATTTCTGAGATGACTCATGTCATAGTTGTGTAAAGATACAAAAGGAAAGAGAGAAAAATTACAAGATATTAAATCTTAAAGAACATGTCATTGATTGCGTCTCAACGTGACAATGACTAGAAAATTTAAACAAAGAATCAGGTGCATTACCATTTGAAGGGTTTATTTTTAGGGTTTTATTGCATATTTTTCATTGTGTTTCATTGATCGCAACAAATCAAAGCTTTACCGATTTGATAAGGATGGAAATCAGTGGAAGGAGAGAGGGACTGGTACTGTCAAGTTTTTGAAATATAAGGTTACCGGTAAAGTTAGACTTCTAATAAGGCAATCCAAGACGCTCAAGATCTGAGCAAGTCATTTCAGTATGTGTTTTCTGCATCTTTGTTTTGCAATTTTGATTTTAAGATTTGATTTTTTCTGATTTATTATCTATTGTTTTGCAGTTATACCTACTATGTATGTGCAAGAACATGGTTTTGATAGAGACTTAGGGTTTGTGAATACTTACGCATGTACTCAGATTCAGAAGATGTAACCTGATGCTGAAGGAAAATATTCGTACACATGCTCTCTTGATTGTGTTGTCATAACCTTCAAAGCAGGAGGACCCTTCAAATGTTACACTAAATTCCTTGTCTTTTGTGTTAGGATTGCTCCTCATGTCATGGTATTATTCTCTTCACAATGATTCTTTCGCCTTTGTTATATATTGCTTATACCAGATGACATGGATCTTCCTCAACCAGTTTCAGAAACTGGAGAAGAGTTATGGATTGTAGGCGATGGCCGAGCATTTTGTTGTTGAATTCAATATTTCAGCATTGAATAATTTGTTGGTTGTGTTGTGGCCGATTTTGGAAATTGAACACCAATGGATCTGATATTTTTTTAACGATTTAAATAGTCATGCAATTCACGCGGGGAAATTTAACATCAATTACAATGTATCAGCAATATATAGAATTCATGTGGCTGGAACATAGTAGCAGTAACATAAATTCCATTTTTGAATGGAGAACTTGCAGAGATATCATATCTTAAACTAGAATAATAAGTACTATGTCTCAGGCACCTCTATCTCAAATTTTGTATTTTTTTTCTTTCTTCAAGCACATTTAATAAATGAAATGTTTTGTTATTTTTATCTTGGCACTGTTGTTTATTGTTTTCATTTATAGGCTATTGAACTTAGCATGTTATTCAGTCTTTTTTGTTTTTCTGACTATGTTGGTTTTTCTGTGTTTTAGCTGATTGTAATTCGTGAACGCATGGACATTAGTAATCTTTTAAAATAGATTAATTGAAAGGAACATGTGTGTTGATGTTGTGTCCGATGCGACATGTGTATGGAATGTTGGAATATGGTTCTTTGTACTCTGTTCTTTTATGCTTCATCTTTTTTGAAAATTCTGGTTTCAATGATTGGACTTCTGCCTACAAGTTGCTTGATGAAATATCTGAAAGATATTTGATAGCACTTGAATTAATTCACCCGTGCGATATCCCAACGCAATTATATATCAGTGGCAAGCAAGCTTGGGATGCCAGAGGCAATTTTATAAGAATCATAGTTGATTAAAAGTCATGGTCCTTAGTCTGGTTCAAGGCCTTAATACACTTGGCATTGTAGATTGATTGACAAAATAATGGAAGTATATGTTGGTGAATTTAAGAGGGTTTGGGGAACACTGCATATAGATGTCTCCTCAGTTCTGTGATGTAAATTCTCATGCAGGAATTGTGTTGCGGTTTATTCAATGCTTAGGCTGAGAATTCTTTTGTTGATGTGATTAAGATTGTACATTTTGTGGTGCATGAGATATCAATGCAACATGTTTAATATTCTGAGGGTGCATGACTCTACTAAAGTCTTAAATTATAGCTATTTTTCTATTCGTTGAAATGAGTAATGCTTCTTGATATTTCTTGTGGCTTACAAGCAGAGCTGAATAAAAATCCCCTTGCCAATTAGTTCAAGAATTTCTTACTAAACCATTTCTAACTAATCAAGCAAACAATCATATAACTTCTTCATCCAATTCTCACACGGGTCACTATTGTCCATGAAAATATGAATGTATCGTTACATTTTCAACAGTAACTCAACTAAACTATCAATTCTAAAAAATAAATTATCAATATAACATGATATTAATTGAATGATAGATACATATCCAACAAAAGTATAAAGTATAAATATAAATTGATTAAACAATAAATAGATGATGGCTTACACTATTCTATTTGTTTAGGCAAAAGTTTTCAGTTGGATTCATGTAAACTTGGTAGAAAAAACCACCCTAAAAAAACTTAAACCAACAATGCAGGGTTAAAGTTCTTGCCAAACAAAATCATAATTGAAAAGGGGGTTAAATGCCTTAAGATTTTTTTTTTGTGATTCCCCCTTATATCAAACATCCAACCACTGCCCCATCGGCTTTGTAATCATTGTCGTTCAAGTGGTATTAGCATGAGAAGCCACTAGATCATCTCATTCAAGTGTATTTATCTCATGAAGATTATGTTCAAGACTTCTACCTGTTAATCCATTTAGCTCTGGTTTTCTCCAAAACACTAAAGAGAATGAAAATATGTAGGCACAGTCAAGGAAAGAAAACAACAGTGTCTATGATAACAATTATCTAGATGTCATTTCTCACCATTATTATAAGCATTGTTGGTTCCATAATCTAAGTCTTCTAATGAAACCCACATAGTTGAATCAAAAATAGAGCTCGAATTTGAATTTACCAGTGTAAAGTAGAGCTTTGAGACTGTATCAGTCCACAATCTAATGAAGGTTAACAAGGATATAGTTTACATTTGTGTGTAAATAAAACTAAGATTTTAAGAGGAAATGGGACAAATAAGATGATTAAGACGGCCTTCTGCGTTTTTGATAATAAACAAGGACGGTGTGCTTAAGATTCCTGTAAAGAAAACAATAACAACAACCGTAACTCGCCTTAATATTTTGCAGATTTCTTTTTATTTTGCTTATCAGATTTAATTAGGGATTTGAAATTGGAAAAGATTAAATAATTTTGATATTAATTAATTTTGAGGTAATTATTTGCAACAACAAAACTGATGGCGCAGTGGTTGGATGTTTGATGAATAAAGCAAGACTCCTTATGCACAGTAAGCTAAATAGTACAAAAAGGGTCTGTATTTTATAAGGGAGGAATCACAAAAAAATTGCTTTGCAGGAGTAGAAGGCAAGAAGGCATTTAACCCTTGAAAAGGAGTTTATTGTATGATATAAAGGCTAAATATCTAGATCATTAAAGAAACTAATTTTAGGACATATTTAATCTATGTTATTTGTTTATTATCACTAAAATTACAAATTAATCTATTTTTCTAATTTTAATATCACGGGTCACTGTAATATTTTTTTAATTTTAATCTATTTTTTTATTATCACTATAATATATTTTTTAATTTTAATAAAATGGAAAATTTATTTATCTCACATATCACTGTCAACACAATATTTAATTTAATTTAATCAACCATTATCTTAATTTAAGAGATAAAATCACTATCAACTACCTGTTTACATTTATATTTGTTAAAATTTCATATTTTCTTCCAACTCTCGCTTCTTTTTTTTATATGGTTATTTAATACATTGAGCTTTTATGATCATCATCAAATAATTATTATTCAATTGACCAAACTTCTTTCAAATTTCAAAATTTTCTTTTTTCTTTTTTCTAGATTTCATTGGTTCCCTTTTTCTTTTCATTTTATATGATTATTTAATACAATTGAATTTTATGATTATTGTTTATTTTACAATTAAATATCTCATTTCAAACTTATGTACTTCTAAGTATATTTTATATCGTATCAAATAAATTCACCCGTGCGGGAGCATGGGTCTCTGACTAGTTGAGTCTTAAAGAGCATGTCACTGATTGCGTCTCAACGTGACAATGACTAGCAAATTTGAACAAAGAATTAGGTGCATTACCATTTTAATGTATTACAGAGTACAATACCGACCACTTCAATTATAAAAACTTAATAGGCAAATTTGATGAACAAATAATATTTTTACCGTGTTTTCTTCTATGAGGCTGAAACGTTGCTTATTATCTTTTCGAACAGCCTGAGGATAACCATGAGATACTTTAGAATAAAATGTTTTTCTTCAGCAAATTCATACGAAATTAACATTACAATTAAGAGTTAAGGGTTCGTATTAATAACTGGATGAACAAATATTGAAGAATGAAACAGCATTCCATATTTCTCATATTTTTCATGTACAAGCTATAGAGGTCCTTTGAAAATACAGGAGATAGGCCTCCAAAATATTTGTATAGAAGGAAGGGTAGAAAAGGAAAAGAAAGAGAAGAGGCGGCAACCTAACTAACTTGACAAGTGGTTAGCCTAACTAACTTCTAACCAACTTGACGAGTGGACAAGTGGCAGTTAGGAGTACTGGTGATTGACAGGATCACGGAAGACAATTGAATATAATAGAATTGAGGAGCAGGGAAAAAGGGGTTGGTTTTATGAAATAGAAATTGGGACTGAGAAGTGAGAGCAAATCTCAATTCAGTAGGGGATATTCTCACAATGAGAGTATCATTCAGTCAGCATTTATTTTTCTAAAATTGTAAGGAGAATCTTCTCCATCCACTGATACCAAAAAAACTGGATTTTAAATTGGGTTATCATCAAATAAGAATGAAAGAGAGTGACATTTCCAAGACGGCTTTTAAAACTCATGAGGGTCACTATGAGTAGTTGTCTTGCCTTTTGGCTTGACTAATGCTCCATCCAAATGTCATCTAGGACTAACAATCCAATTTCCAAGTGTTCATGAACGATATTTTTGAGCCTTATTTAAGAAAGTTTATGTTGGTTTTCTTTGACAACATACTGGTTTACATGCCATTTGAAGATTGTGTTGGAGGTGTTAAGGACACATCCTCTAAAGGTGAACTTTAAAAAGTGTAGTTTTGGTATATAACTCAATTAGAATACTTGGGCCATATCATTTCTGCCAATTCCTGTGCCGGTTCAGATTTGGGAGGATCTCATTATGGATTTTATTGGAAGACTACCAAAATCCAAAGGGAACGACACTATAATGGTGGTGGTAGATAGGCTGTCCAGTGTCCAAAGGAACTGATTTCAAGGCCTTGAGTCACCCTTATACAACAAGGACAGTAGCTGGGATGTTCATCAATGAAGTGGTGAAATTACACAGGTTTCCGACTTCCATCATCTCTGACCGAGACCGGGTGCTCATGAGTCTTTTTTGGCGTGAGTTGTTCACCTTATCAGGGACCAAACTGAAGTTCAGATCTGTTTATTATCGACTAACGGATGGGCACTTGGAGGTAACAAGCAGAACGTTGGAGACATATTTGAGGTGTTTTGCCAATGAACAGCCAAAACAGTAAAATGGTTAACATGGGCTAAATTTTGGTTCAACTTGTATTAGAATGCTTCAATTGGCATGAACCCATTTAAGGCAATATATGGGAGGGAGGCACCATGAGTGATCAAATACCCTCGGGAGGGGCAAGAGTTGAAGGGTGGATAAACTCCTAGGGGAACGTGATGTTGTGTTGGAAAACTTAAAGGAGCAGTTGAACGGAGCACATAATAGCATGAAACAGTGGGCGGATAAGAAGAGGAGAGAGGTGACCTATGAATTGAAGGATAAGGAGTACTTGAAGGCACAACCTTATAGGGGTTCAAATCCTTAACTAATAAACCCAATGAGAAGCTGAGTACACGATTTTATGGACCATTTAAAGTTATCGACAAGATTGGCAGTGTAGCATATAAATTGGCATTACCCTCCAATTCTAAAATACACCTGGTGTTCCGTTTATCTCAGCTGAAGAAAGCAGTAGAGAGTGGAATTGCAGTGCAGCGGTTACCAGTGTTTGAATGCAGAATGGGAGCTACAAGTTCAACCAAAGGAAGTGTTGGGAGTAAGGAGACTACTGAATGGAACTGAACAGGTGCTGATTCTGTGGGAGGGACTGCCTGAAGATGAAAACACTTGGGAAATCTCTCGAGTCTTCCCAGAATTTAACCATGAGGACAAGGTAGCACTGGTGGGGGTTAGTGTTGATAGGCCTCTAAAATATGTGTATAGAAGGAAGGGTAGAAAAGAAAAAGAAAGAGAAGAGACGGAAGCATAACTAACTTCTAACTAACTTGACAAGTGGTTAGCCTAACTAACTTCTAACAAACTTGACAAGTGGTTAAGAGGAAATGCAACTAACATGACAGATGGCAGCCTAGGAGTGGTGGGGATTGAGAGAATCATGGAAGAGAATGTGAATATAATAGAATTGAGAAGTGAAAAAGGGGTCAGTTTTATGAAATAGAAATTGGGACCGAGAAGAGAGAGCAATTATCAACTCAGTAGGGGATATTCTCGGTGAGTATCATTCGGTTAGCGTTTACTTTTCTAAAATTGTAGGGAGAATCTTCTCCGTCCACTGTACTGCATTTCCTTCAATTAATACAGTTCCAAAAGGTTTCTCTTCTGCGATTTACGGTCACCCATACTAGCTATTTCATCCTAATTCTAGAATTCTTGGTCCTGGTCCTGGTCCTGTTAGAGTACAATAAAAAAGGAAAGAAAATCTCTAATATAAAAAGCTACTAATCAGCACAAGAGCTTCATTATAAAAAACAGATGACAAAAGGAATAAAAGTTCCATAGGTAATCATTCTCTTGTGTTTCATAAAAGAAAAATAAACATATTGGAGTACGGCTAATACCATAAATATGACTTTATTTTATATATTTGTTTTTTGTATTCATGATAATCAAATTAAAACAGAAACGGAAAAGCATATAAAATGGGATGAGCTTGTGCAGCCGGAAACAGAAAGAAAAAAAAAACATATACTAGACAACTGACCTCCCTAATGTCATCAATGGTGTTGGATCGCAGAAGAATATTATCAAGTGTCTTCAAATTCAACTTTAGCAAATCATTAACATTCAAATAACCATCACTCCTCATATTCAATTTCAATTCAGATGCCATATCCTGCAGATATTAAACAAAATTATAATGAGAGAAATTGCTTAGTAAAAGAATTAGGCACAAAACAGTTTTACTTAAGTCATAGCATAGAGTTCATCCGACATCTACTATGTTGCTCCAATCCCATGCAAACAAAGTACATGTTATTTTTCAAAAGAGACTGCTTTTAATTGGCTAAATTTACAGAAGATATCTTATAAAATTGCTTCCTTCCTTAATCAAAGCATGACAGATTGACAAACTTCTCTCCACATGAAAAGAATGAGAATATCCACTTTATTTTCAAACAAAAGAACAAAGACAAATGAAACTTGCATTATCTAGCTACAAAGGAAGAAAGAAATGTTAATGTAAACAAAAAACTATTAGAGGGCCAAGTAGTGCTTACAGGAGGCTACCAAGAGCATCAATTTTATCCGTTCCCGAGCCACTCACACTGCCACCACCCCACCCTCTTGTTCTTTCTCTATCATTTATTGTATCAAAAGCCCTTCCTCTGCCATTGCCAGAACTGCCCACAAAATATCAAGCATAAAACTCTGAACTTGACTACTGATAAGTGATAAGTCAACACAAGTCAAAGCAATCAATGACACAAACTTATCCAAGGTATTGAATCACTAGAATAAACTTGAAATTCCAATACATAAGTACACATGGTGAGAATATCCACTTTATTTTCAAACAAAAGAACAAAGACAAATGAAACTTGCATTATCTAGCTACAAAGGAAGAAAGGAATGTTAATGTAAACAAAAAACTATTAGAGGGCCAAGTAGTGCTTACAGGAGGCTACCAAGAGCATCAATTTTATCCGTTCCCGAGCCACTCACACTGCCACCACCCCACCCTCTTGTTCTTTCTCTATCATTTATTGTATCAAAAGCCCTTCCTCTGCCATTGCCAGAACTGCCCACAAAATATCAAGCATAAAACTCTGAACTTGACTACTGATAAGTGATAAGTCAACACAAGTCAAAGCAATCAATGACACAAACTTATCCAAGGTATTGAATCACTAGAATAAACTTGAAATTCCAATACATAAGTACACATGGTGAGAATATCCACTTTATTTTCAAACAAAAGAACAAAGACAAATGAAACTTGCATTATCTAGCTACAAAGGAAGAAAGGAATGTTAATGTAAACAAAAAACTATTAGAGGGCCAAGTAGTGCTTACAGGAGGCTACCAAGAGCATCAATTTTATCCGTTCCCGAGCCACTCACACTGCCACCACCCCACCCTCTTGTTCTTTCTCTATCATTTATTGTATCAAAAGCCCTTCCTCTGCCATTGCCAGAACTGCCCACAAAATATCAAGCATAAAACTCTGAACTTGACTACTGATAAGTGATAAGTCAACACAAGTCAAAGCAATCAATGACACAAACTTATCCAAGGTATTGAATCACTAGAATAAACTTGAAATTCCAATACATAAGTACACATGGTGAGAATATCCACTTTATTTTCAAACAAAAGAACAAAGACAAATGAAACTTGCATTATCTAGCTACAAAGGAAGAAAGAAATGTTAATGTAAACAAAAAACTATTAGAGGGCCAAGTAGTGCTTACAGGAGGCTACCAAGAGCATCAATTTTATCCGTTCCCGAGCCACTCACACTGCCACCACCCCACCCTCTTGTTCTTTCTCTATCATTTATTGTATCAAAAGCCCTTCCTCTGCCATTGCCAGAACTGCCCACAAAATATCAAGCATAAAACTCTGAACTTGACTACTGATAAGTGATAAGTCAACACAAGTCAAAGCAATCAATGACACAAACTTATCCAAGGTATTGAATCACTAGAATAAACTTGAAATTCCAATACATAAGTACACATGGTGAGAATATCCACTTTATTTTCAAACAAAAGAACAAAGACAAATGAAACTTGCATTATCTAGCTACAAAGGAAGAAAGGAATGTTAATGTAAACAAAAAACTATTAGAGGGCCAAGTAGTGCTTACAGGAGGCTACCAAGAGCATCAATTTTATCCGTTCCCGAGCCACTCACACTGCCACCACCCCACCCTCTTGTTCTTTCTCTATCATTTATTGTATCAAAAGCCCTTCCTCTGCCATTGCCAGAACTGCCCACAAAATATCAAGCATAAAACTCTGAACTTGACTACTGATAAGTGATAAGTCAACACAAGTCAAAGCAATCAATGACACAAACTTATCCAAGGTATTGAATCACTAGAATAAACTTGAAATTCCAATACATAAGTACACATGGTTAGAAACAAAAAAAAATTAAGAACTAGAAAGGAGTTGGTTATAAAGAAGATTACATACATGGTCTTGTTTATGCAGGAACACATCCAAATTCATCACAGTGGGAGCATTTTTCCCCTACTAGGGATTTCAATCTCTCTCATTATTATAAGTATTAGCCGCCCAACATAAATTTGGAGGATAGCGCCGCTTTGCAGTAATGACGGAGAAAGTTGCATAATAAATATATATACATAAATAGGAAAAGTTTTTGTGCATCAATGAAATAAAACAATTAATAGCATTATAGCAGTATCACATTCCCATGATCAATTTTGCGGAATAACTGTTAAGTAACTGCAACTTTTATCTAATAGTCAATCAATAATCGTAATATTTCACAAGCCACGACACATGAATTTCAAAAAACTCTAAACCAATATATGAAATGACTTATAATATTACCTTCCAAGTCATTATTTTCATGTTGCTACTGAGAAGCATACTTTATACCACCCCGTCAGCAGGCGTCAAACTCAGCAATGTTTGATGAACTCCCTGCACAAAATGTACAACCAAACCATCCAAACCCGTACAATCAAGGTTGAAGAACAAACCCTAGCAATGTTGATTTCAAACACCTATTGAAACTGATAAAATTAAATTACATTCAAGGTTGAAGAACAAACCCTAGCAATGTTGATTTCAAACACCTATTGAAACTGATAAAATTAAAAGAAAATTTTCGCATTCGCGTTACGGATTGCGTCATCAAAAAAGAGAAGAAGAAAAGGTAAATATGGAGATGCGGGGTATCGATCCCCGTACCTCTCGCATGCTAAGCGAGCGCTCTACCATCTGAGCTACATCCCCTTTTGTTTCTCACTTGAATCTTACCGTAATTTCATCAATACGTGCGAGACCAGAATTTGGTTGAAGCTGTTTTAGTTTGATAGTTATACAATTCTTACTCTTTGGTAGATGAAATATATAAAATAAAAAATTTGAAAATGTCTAATTTCAGATCAAAACAAAAATCACTGTAGCTGTCTACTTTATCTCTTAAAGATCATCCTTTTTATTTTAAAGAAATGAGTTTCTCACTCTCTTGTGTTATACATTTTCACATATATTTTTTTTCAAAATACTCTAAATTTCTTATATTTGACTATCTTTTTATTTTTTTCTCTTTTAATTTTACTCACTTTTTATTTGATTATATTTTTCTTATTTAATGAAGAAAGAGGTTGAGAATTAAGAGACAAAATGGAAGCAAAATAGATGAGAATCTTCATATCTAAAATAGAGTGAGTTGGATAGCTCTTTTTTTTTATCATGTATTTATTAGTTTAACTCCAACGTGAAACACTTCAGATCAATATAACAAATTTGGTGTCATAAAATATTTTTTAAATAAAAATAAAAATAATAAAATTTATATTAACTTTTATACTTTAAAATAAGAAAAAACATCAATGTTATCGGGTACATATGCATTCTCTTACATTAAAAATTATGCATTTTATCATGTTATCGGTGAGTATTCAAGTGTTCCCGTCACACATTAATGTGACATACAAAGATACCTTCTAATGCATAATGGACATAATTATCAAGGGAACACAAAAAAATGACACGTAACAGGGACTCTATGGTCCAACACGACATGTCTGTGTCATGTGACACGACCCGTGTTGGGTACAGGACCCCTCCCTGGTATAAGATTACGTGAGGCCATCGTCCCTTTAAGGACCCCTGACACGGTTTGTCCGTGTTATCTAACACGACCCGTTCCAGCTCTAGGTCCTTCCCCCATACAAAAACCCGAGAGCGACACGACCCTTGTCAGCTCCTAATTTGGAGTTTTCCTTCTTGTGCGAATTTTCACATATTTTCCTCTCTTGTACCAGCATCAAAATCCGATCCACGGCCATCCAAACACAAAATACAAGTTCAATAGTCATAAGATCAAGGTTCATATTCATGCTTATGACAAAACCTAATTATGCTCATCCATGTCCTCTAGGGTGCATCATTGAATTCATGGATTAGGTAACACATAGAGATGATTCATGACAATTCAATTTGAACTACACTTAAGTTATAAATGTGATCAACCATACTTGCAAGCAACAAGATACCATCATATAGTTCACATAACACATTTAAAATTAACCATTTCTCAAACCCCAACCTTAGTAACAAATTCTACCTCAAATTAGGTTTATAACGAAGAACCCGCCTCAAGAGAAATTATGAGATTTATGAGGAACATGTATATGAAGGTTGCTTGGAGCTTGGCTTAAAGAATTTGCTGCAGAATTTAGACTTTGATACTCATGCAAGGATGAAGATGAAACTCCAAGTTTCTCTCTTCTCTTCTCAACTGACATTTCTTTCTTCTTTCCTTGTTTTTTCTGATTTGAAGAGAGAGACAAATGAGAGAAAGTGTGAATCATTCTAACTAAAATAGGATTAAACAACTTAGTGGGGAAAATATCACAACGCCCCCACTTTTAACACTTATTACCAATAAGGCCAAAAATATAGAATTGAGGTCCAAATTATTCATTAGCCAAGATGAATATAAGTTTAAGGATTGATGAGATACTTAGAGGCTTGGGGTGTTATATCCTTCCCTCTTAAAATAAATTTGACCCCTAATTTAAAACTTATAGGAACAAATGAGGATAGAACTCTCGCATCTCGGACTTGAGCTCCCAAGTAGCCTCGCTCGGATGCGACTCTTCCTAAAGAAACTTCACCATGGGTATCTGCTTGTTTCGTAATGACTTGCTTGCACACTCAATGGTCTGGCTTGGCTGAGGTTGAAAAGATAGGTTTGCTTCTACTTCAACTGTATTCGGTAAGATCAGATGAAGATAGTAAGGAATAAACTTCTGAATTTGCGACACATGGAAAATTTCGTGAAGACCAGATAGTGGAGATGGAAACGCCAACTGATATGCTACTTCTCCTACTCTTCTATTGATTTAGTATGCTCCAACGTATGTCGAGTTTAACTTCCTTGACTTGAAAGACCCTTTCAACTTTAATCTTGGTGTAACTTTCAAAAATGCATGATCCCCTTCTTTAAATTATAATAGCCTCCTCCGTCGGTCTACATAAGAATTTTGGCGATCTTGAGCCTTTTCATCCTGTCACGAATCATCTGAATCTTCTTGGTGTTATCTTGAATGATTTTGGGTCCAAGAGTACTCTTTTCTCCAAATTCCATCAAATAAAGTCGCGTTTTACATCTCCTTCCATACAAAGCTCCGTACAGGGCCATCTCGATACTCACATGATGGCTATTGTTGTAGGCAAACTCGATCAATGGAAAATGATCTTTCTAATTTCCTATGTCTTCTTACACGCATGCCCTTAATAGATCTTCCAAGGTTTGAATTGTCCTCTTGATTTGACCATCCGCCTGAGGGTGATTCGAACTACTCATGCATAAATTTGTGCCCATAGCATGTTGCAAAGCCTTCTAGAATCTCGAGGTAAACTTAGGATCCTTATCCAAAATAATGCTTCACGAAACATCGTGCAACCTCATGATTTGTGCAATAAACAACCTTGCAAGATAGATTACTTTATACATGGTTTTCACTGACAAAAAATGAGCTGATTTGGTTAACCGATCTACAATCACCCAAATTGAGTTACGACCACCCAAGGCACGCAGTAATACCACCTAGAAGTCCATGAAGATATTCACCCATTTCTACTCTGGAACCTATAACGCTTAGATTATCTGGTCTTGGTGCCCGGTCATCACCTGCTGGCACACAACACAACGAGCTACATATTCAACAATACTCCTTTTCATCCCAGGCTACCAATAATCGCTTTTTAAATCTTGGTACATCTTAGACGATCTTGTGTGAATAGTAAACTCGCTTTTATGATCATTAGGAACACACACATGTTGGTTAAATAGGATGAATTTGTTTGTGGCTTGAGAAAAACCCGATTTTCCAATCTTAGATTATAACTCGGCATCAACACACTAGAAACACCAAATTCGTTCCCTCAAATCGCATGTGATACTCAAATTGCCCATTAGTACTCCATCCCAAGTCCATGCAAATTGGAGGTTAAGATTCTGGAACTTCTCGAGCAAGTCATACTCCAAAATCATCAACTTGGTTACATGTATTTCCTTCCGGCTTAATGCATGTGCGACCTTGTCGCCTTTCTTGGGAGATACTTGAGTTTAAAATCATAGTCCTTTAGGTATTCCATCCATCTTCTCTATCGCATGTTTAATTTTTTCTGATCGAAGAGGTATTTTAAGCTCTTATGATCACTAAACATTTCAAAATGAACTCCATATAAATAAGGGTGCGAAACCTTAAGCGTAAACACTACGGCTGCTAGCTCAAGGTCATGGATTGGATAATTTTCTCCATGTCCTTTTAACTGTCAGGACACATATGCCACAACTTGCTCGTTCTTCATTAGGACTCCGCCTAAACCTTTCTTTAAGGCATTACAAAACACTGCATAAGTCTTCCTGAGATCCGGAATTACTAATATCAGGGTGTTGGTTAACTACTTCATCAATTCAACAAAAATTCGTTCACATTCCTCATCCCATTGGAATTGAGTTTCCTTCCGAGTGAGTCTAGTCAACAATAAGGAAATTTGAGAAAACCCTTGAATAAACCTTCGGTAATATCTTGTTAGACCTATAAAGCTTATGACTTCTGAGACACTTTTTGGTCTCTCCAAATTGATCACGGCTTCTACTAATTCGAAGTTATTTTGGGGAGAATACCTAAAATATGAGAAATTTCGAGGGGATTTCTCCATCAATTCTTCCTTCAAAGCTAGACTAGATTCGTCGACCATATGCAAATACCCCTTTAAGCCACTGATGTATTAAGCAACCTTGGCTCTCTAATTCTCCCTGTTCATCTTTGAGAAAGAATTCATGTTTGAGAAACTCCAAGAGAGATAACCAGAGATAGTTAAAATGTTTTATGAAAATATTTCCTACACTAATGAAATCATCAACTCTGGAGTAAGGAAACATCCTATCACCTTATCCCTTGAAGACTTTGCCACAATTTTCAAACTCCTTTTCATAGAGCGAGAC